CTAACAGTCAGTGTATGTGTGTGTGGGGGGGGGGGGTTTCTCTAATGGCATGATTTCTACAGTGTACATAGTAGTTGAACAACACATATAACAACTAAATTTACCAAGTCCTATAGGCATATTATCTACCCATTTTTGCGTGCAAATATTAAATTCTACCCATTCCCCTTTTTACTAACACCCCAATCGTTTATACAAAGGTCATTACAGGCCCAATAATGAGTAAAAATATAAATGTTACACAACAATGACAATAGGCCCACAACATGCTAAAATAAAAATACCAGCATCGTCTGGGCCTTCAGTAACTCTCACACAGCATACCCAGGCCTCTAATATGGGGTCCTATCCATCACACAACCCCAGAATCCATAAAGGAGCCCAAAGTCAATCTATTCAACCATAGCAACAAGTGTTGCACCACTAAATCAGCCAATTCAGGTATATGTCGGATAATAGGATAGAATGGGATGAATAAGAATGGTTTGAGATTTAGGGAATGACTAAGGACCAAGCCTTAGTGTGTCAGAGTTCACAAGGGTCTCAATTGGATCCCGAGCAATGCTCACACTAGGGTGGTCAACAGTAGAACCTAGGTAGCCTTGGCTTTCAGCCGGCTAAGAATGAGAACTCAAGAATGCACATATGACAAGTGAAGGATAGTAAACCAAGATTGAGAGACAAAGCTGAGGGGATACAAACATAGTCAAGTTGAGCACATAGAGCAGATTATCAAACAGGACTTAGGGCTTTAGAATAGACTTAGCAAAGATTCAGAAGAACAAGTTTAACACCTAGTGCATAAGTAGTAACACATCATCAGAACAGGTTTGCAAGATTGGTAAAAGTAGCATACACAAACTCATAATAAAGGAAAATGTTCAAATTATGCTAAGCATAGGTCTTAGTGTTACAAGAGAGAATCATATTAATTGGCAGCAGAGTTTATGCATGATGAGAATAGATTATTGCAACTACTGGGAAGTCAAGGAGATCAAAACATGCTAAAGGCATACTAACAGGATCAAACATGTATATAGGCAGGATATCATCACAACAATTCAGAATAGGATAGGAAACAGACTTGTGCCATATAGTGAGTGTACATACTCATGTTTTGAACACAATTGACTAGTCGACTAAAAGGATACAAATTATGTAGGTAAAGCATGTTCAAGTAACATGATTGATAGCCTAAAGCAAAATTAAACAACAAAGAGATGTTGAAGAATGCAAAGGTCCTAAACAACAGTAAATTGCAAATCATAGGCTAGATGAACTTGAAAGGAATCTAATTTACTCGAACTCAGGTTTAGGCATGCTTTGAACTATCAACAATATGAAGTAAAAATTAAGGAGAACAAAAATTGAAGTAGAACAAACAGAATTGCACACAAAAAACAAACCGGAAGACTTATTAAACTAACGAACTTCAGAGGTGAAGATTTATGCAAAAATGCAGATACATAGGGACGAATTTATAAAGGTACAGTAACTCACCGGTTAACGAAGAACAGTAAAGAATAAACTTCCACAAAAACCTAGAATCCCAATGCGTCAAAGTTTCCAAGAGCTTCGATGAACTCAAGAAAATGCTCGCACCAAGAACAGGTTGAGTAGCAAGGTGTTAATGGCCTTGGCTTTCAGCCGACCTATACAGAATACAGAACAAGAGAGTAGCAAAAATCCCAATTTTAGTGAAGAAAATTGATTCAAAAGTCTGTCCTAGAAGGAAAAGGAGGGGGTTTATATAGAAGTCAAAAATCGAACAAACACATAAGGAAACAGAGTAAATTAAACAACAAATAAGGAAAGAAAACAAGCAAATCAATTTGAAATCGATTTAAGAGAGAAATCCGGTAAACCCTAGTTTTTTTAGGGAAAGTGTAAATTAGCAGAAATCCAAATGAGATCGGACTCACACAATATAGCATTGAACGTGTGTAGACGAGATATGGCCCAGAGTCAAAAGATTGGAATCGATCGGACAGAATAGGAGAGGTAGTACTTGCCATGTTTAGGCAAGTGCTAAGTGATACCATGGAGAATCAACTAGTAGCGAAAAAATGCTGATATAGCAAGTAAATGTGGGGAGAATCCCATTAGGATAGGGATTAAGGAAGGGCGGCGATTAGGGTTCTTCAGAGAAGGGGGAAGGGTTTCAGGGCGGCGGGGTAGAGTGAATGAGGATTAGGGTTTGGGGTTAGGTAATTAAAAGGGGTAGGTTGATTGTGGGTTGTTGATCTTAGAGATCAATGGCCAGGATTTTAAAGAGGGATTGGGGCGGGTTAATTAAACGGGTATGGGTAGTGGGTTGCTGGTGTTGGGCTAGGGGTTATTGGGCTAGAGTATTGGGCCTTTGGTCCGAAAATTGGTTTAAAAATTGGGTCAGCTCTTTTAAATAAAAATTAAAAGGGAAATAATTTAATAAAATAGCTAAATAAATATTTAAAATGCTACTTATGCAAATTAATACTTTAAACAATGATAGAAGGCTATAAAATATGTAAAATATTATTTTGACCCTAAATAAAATGTCAATTGCAATAAGAATGCAAAATATAGGCTACTATTGCAAATTTAAATAAATAGCTTAAAATGTAAACATAATTATATGAAATAAAATAAAAATATTATGGAACATGTATGAGGATGCAAAAATAGTAATTTGTGTGATTAAGACATCACAAATAATTTTAAAGGGACAATTACTGAATTTTATGTAACTTAATGCAAGAAAATTAATTTAAAAGCTCTAAAATTATGGAAAATTATAAAAGTGCTCGTGTAAATCTTTTAAATTAAATAATAGTGCAAAATGATATTTTAAAAGTATATATATATATATATATATATATTATTTGAAAAAATATATGTGGGCAAAATTGCATATCGACAATAAGATATATTTTATTCACACACACACACACACACACACACACACACACATATATATATATATATATATATATATATATATATATATATATATATATATATATATATATATATATATATATAAAATCAATCACTCATAATAAGAAAATAAAGGTATATATATGAGACCTTTATTTTATTCGAATTCCACATTTCGTCTTATATATTCATTCGTTTTATAGCTAATTACAAATCACATAGATTAATAAATATCGGTCGAGATGTTTTACCTTTTGTATTCATCTATCTAAGTTAATTTTATACATTATAATTAAGTATATGAGTCATTTCACACACCCAAACACACACACACACACATTATATTATATTATAATTGATGATCAATCACATACATTACTACCTATGAAAACTTGATCAATTGATGAATTGGTAAACCAATATTATTCTATTTTAAATATGTTTAATCAATTGTTATATTAACTCGTTTACTTAATGCTAATAGCTTCTTTCATTTATTTAATTTGTGATACATATATACATGTCAAAGAAGTTTAGTATTCTTCTATATTTTATTCATTCATCACTAATAATGCATGACATAGATTAATCGATATAGGTCGAGACGTTTTGTTTTTAATATTCATCGATGCATCTAAGTAAGTTATAAGTCGATGAATCAATTTACAAATAGATATATTTGATGATGATCAATTATATACTAATTAGATTATTGCTTCTTCACAAGTATATCACCAAAAGAACCCAACGATGTGGCCCTAGCGCTTCACGTTCTTAGATGCGGTTACCTATCTCTCTTCTCTCTCTCTCTCTCTCTATATATATATATCTATCTATCTATCTATCTATCTATCTATCTAAATATAGATATACACTTTATTATACTACTTTAACTATATATAGCTTGTTATAGTATATGTTAGTGCATTCATTATTTGTATTGCAAAATAAAGTGTTAATGGATTATATTTATATTATTTAGATAGTAAATTTTAATGTGATTAAAAAATTTGACCATGTTTGACCTATGAATCGACCGAAGTTGGTCGATTACATTCCAGAAATTACAGCTACCGACCAAAGTTGGTCAGTAAAATCTTCTCCTGTAATAACCGACCGACTTTGGTCGGTAAATTCAACTGTAAATTTTATAAAATATTTGATATAATAATATAATTATTAAATTTAAAACTATGGGAGCCCACATTACCGACCGATGTTGGTCAGTAATCACAAAAGTGCTTTGACTAAGCAAGTCTGACCATTGCGGCCATATATCTGACCAATATACCGCTCGATTTCGATCGGTATGTTGTTTAAAAAAAAGGTAAAATGTTTTTTGGTAGTTTCCCTCCGTTTTGGACGGTTTTTTGGTCGCTTTTGTTGACCGACTAACGTTGGTTGGTATGCCTCGGTCGAGTTTTCCCAGATTTCTAGTAGTGACATTTCTTTTTGAATAAAAAAGAAAAGAAAAAAAAGATGTTCAAGTCGCATGCTAATGAAATAATGGAGGAGATGGCATGTGCATAACGATAGAATATAAAGAAAAATGGTCCATAAAGTCCCCTACGGCAACTAACTAAGCAGTTATACTGGGGGAAAAAGCCTAAGCAGTTATAGATATCTTTTTTTTTGGTAATCTAAATTAATCACAATGCAAATAGATAAATCGCTAACTTGTAATACAATATCCTCTGTATTCTTTTTTTCCATTTCTTACCTTGAAATATCGGATTTTTGAAAAAGGAAGAGAAGAATGTATATATTTAAAATTGAAAAATTAAATTTTTTAAAATAAAGCTGGCGGGAATAAATTATTTCCATCCAAAAAATTAGATGCCTTACTTCTTGAAATTTAGAATCACCACTTTTTGAATGGTAAGAATAAAAATAAAATAAAAAATGAAGGAGTAAATTAAACGGCTAATTTTTTAAATCCATAAATCATAAAGCAAGTGGGGGTTGTCGCTGATTCATGTAGGCCCCACATAAAAAGAGAAACACAAAAACGCGTTAAACTCAGAAAAGAAGCTCACAAACAAACAACAAAAGCAGGAAAAAAGAAAAGCAAGTCCCTCTTGAAGTTATTTTCATCTGGTATAATTTATTTGTGTATGTTAACCTCTACACGTTTTTTAGAGTTATCTTCTCGCTTTAATTTATTGACTTCTCATTTTTATTAATTTTAATTTAATGTTCATTTCTTTGTTATAATCATCAATGGCTGCTGGATAACGAAAATCACAACTTTCATGCTTTTTCTTGAAACTTCCAGAGCCTTCTGTTATTTATGTCACATCTTTACCTACCTTTTGCTTCTTCAAAAACCTGTTTGTTAGGTATTTAAACCCCATTTAAAATTATTTAATTTGTACATTTTTATATCTCTAACTTTGAGCTAGATCTGCAAAAATTGTTTCAAATAATAGAGTTTTATTTTTCTTGTTTTCAGCTCGGTAATTTTGCTAATTTCTGCTTCCAGCTTCTTAAACAAAGGTAAGATCACGTAAGCTTAGATTCTTCCTCAGCAACTTGATATGGCTTTTCTCCATTTTTTTTTGGCATCCCTCTGTCTATTTTTCTTCTTTTTTTTTTTTTTTTTTTGTGATTAAGGGTTCAAATATTTATGAACTTTTTCTTGTTGGTGCTTGGATTTTATTTTTGTTTGACAGAGAAAAAAAGGTAATATTTGATTCTAGGATCTTGTTAATACTAGACTCCGTCATTCTTGCTTCTTCCTAAAAAAAATTCAATTTTCTTTGGTGTATTTTTTTTTTTCCAACAAGGGGCTATCTATTTTATGAACTATTTGTTGTTGATTAGGCTCAAACTTTTATACACTCTTGCTTCATTCTTTTATTTATTTTTCAATTCTCCATATTTTTTTTTCTTTTATACTAGTAGTGTTTTTTTTTTTTTTTTTTTTTGAAGGGCTTAAATTTTTATGAACTTATCTGTTGTTTGTTTGACAGAAAAAGAAGATTAAAATGGATGGAAGAGGAGCATCAAGATATTGGTGTCATCAGTGTTCAAGGAGGGTGGACCCCGCGATGGAGGTGGAATTAAAATGTCCTATTTGTCAACAAGGTTTTGTTGAGGAAATGGGATCAGACACTGCTCTTGAAAATGATTTGGGAGGGTCCGACTCTGATCGTGCCCTCTCGCTATGGGCGCCAATCTTGTTAGGCATGATGAGCAATCCTCGTCGTCGCTCTAGGTTTAGGCATCATCTCGAATTTGATAGTGATGATGATGATGATCATACTCGTGAAGGTGGGGACACGGAACTTGATCCTGAGCTGGCATCTATAATGAATAGGCGGAGGAGGAACTCCGCCACTATTCTCCAGCTCTTGCAAAGTATTCGAGCTGGTATGGAGAATGCTGAGGGTGAAAATAGTGGGGAGACAGGTAGAGAGAGTAGGGATGGCGAGGAGCGTGTGATACTTGTAAATCCATTCAATCAAACCATCATTGTGCAGGGTTCTTATGATTCGGATAATAGTGACCGCCCCATTGGCTCATTGGGTGATTATTTCATTGGTCCTGGTTTAGACATGTTGCTGCAACATTTGGCAGAGAATGATCCGAATAGGTATGGTACTCCACCAGCTCAAAAAGAGGCTGTAGAGGCATTGCCTGCGGTGAAAATTGACGAGACGCTGCAGTGTTCCGTGTGTTTGGAAGACTTTGAGATTGGGACTGAAGCCAAAGAGATGCCTTGTAAGCACAAGTTTCACAGCGAGTGTATCTTACCGTGGCTGGAGCTTCATAGCACCTGTCCAGTCTGTAGGCATCAGTTGCCCTCTGATGAATCAAAAGTTGAGAATGTCACTGGTAACACAAATGCTGCTCAGAGTAGTGATACAAGGAATGAAAACGGTCGACGTTTTCCAGTGTCGCTTCCATGGCCTTTGAGTGGTTTGTTTACATCAGGTACCCAATCTAGTAATGGAAATTCATCATCAACGACTACTTCATCAGGAAATGCAAACTCAAATGCTCATATGCATGATGATTAGCGGATCTTCTTTGGCCTTGCTTGTGTACATAGACTGGTACTTGCTAAATTTTAGTAATTGCAAACAATCCTGTTCTTGCCTGCCTGTATTATATGGAGGATCATTTTACTTTTGTTAGACTAGATGCCTGCCGAGCTCAAAGACTCTCTTCTGTTTGTATAGCTTTAAAATATATGTCTTCGTACACTTTTTGATTAACTATCTCAAAAAAGCTCAACCCTCAAATCCTTGAAGCTAATGGATTGAATGAAAGGGTCTATGTTCTATGTCTTCTGAATCATGGAAATCAAAAGAATTACTTGGTTTTGTTTCTGATTTATCAGCCAAACTTTTAAAGCTGTAGCAATGTGCTATGGTTCATTAACTCTGAAGCACTGTTGGTTTGTTATATGGTGGATTCCTGAAGTCGTAAACGTTTTCTACATGTTCACCGAGTCGTGCTGTTGACTTCCAATTTTTTATGTCAAATTGCTAAATATGATAAATCTCTTCGCCAGGCTTGGATTTCTATATCACAATGAAGCTGGATACGGATTATTCATCCTTTCCACTTTCCAGGATGTTTAGTTTCCTATAGAAAATTCTGCTCCTCTTGTGCTTTGACAGTGGATGAGGGACAACACTCTTACGTTATATCTGCATTTAGCTGTGTTGCTAGAATCATTTATAGTGGTTGGATCTCTAGAGGCAAGTTTGTGTCAATAGAGTGTACTTTCCTTGTTAAACGTAAACTGGAACTGCATCTCAATAAAATTGATATTCTTGACTGTTTACAACCAGGAGAGAATGGACATTTTAATGAATTAGCTATGAGGGAATGAAAATGAGCCACAATTTCCAGTGTCATTCCCACTGCCTTTGTGTGATTTGTTCTCACCCTCAAACGCAGGTTCCCAATTCAGTAATAATACATCTTCTTCCTCAAACTCTAGTAGTATTCATATGCATGAGGATTAAATTTTTTTATAGTGAGTTTTGCTCAGTGATGCATGGATCCTTTGCCCTAACTTATGTACAATTCTATATAGATATTGCAAACATCGGATCCTGTAGCGTAGAGGGCTTTAGGCGTTGAGCATGAAACAGCTCTTCTTTCCTTATGATTTATTCCTTGGGCTTTGATCAATTTCAGTATGAATTTGGATCCTAATTGTTCATTCTATTTAGGATTATTATCTTCCTTTAGGAAAATCCTGCTCGTCTTGTGCTTTAACTATGGATGAGGGACAACACTGAAGTTATATATGCACTTAGGTGTGTTGCTGTATTGATCTGTTTTTTCAGCGTTGCGATCAAAGGTACCCATGGGAGGGATCTTGTTGCCTGAGTGGGCAGGGGCAGCCCGGTGCACTAAGCTCCCGCGATGCGCAGTGTCTGGGGAAGGACCACAACGGTCTATTGTACGCAGTATTACTCTACATTTATGCGCAAAGGCTCCCCTTCTTGTTGCGCCTGAGTGAAATTGCAAATTTTAGTTATTGGCATTTGGTGGTATTGTTATTGACACGAGAGTTTCTATTTGTTTGTCTAGTTATAGCTCACAGTTGCGCCCCGAAATACAGTCGACCCTGGGCTGCCTTTGTGCGGTGCCTTAGCATCGTGTGCAAGAAATCCACAGGCTAATTTATGTGCCACTGCCGCTCCTCCATAGTTGGTGTTATGACATGTCAGTTGTTTTGGTGGGTCTCGAGAAGCAAGTTTGTGCACGTATGCGGTCTTGTTAACTTGTCACGACCTGGATTTCTCACCCTCGGGACCGTGATGACGCCTAACATTGCACTCGCTAGGCAAGCCAACATTACAGAATTTTTCACATTTTTCCTTTATCCTTTTATAATTAAAATTTAACAAACTAAGTCAGCGAAAATATAAGTGGAAGTACATAATTTAACTGATTACCATTATACTATTAACCAAAAGCCGAAATAGATACCACCCAAAAACATGTGTCACAACTCACGAATATTTTACGAATACTACAAGTAATGGTTTGAAAGAAAATACATCTATCTCGAAGAAAGTAAAACAGAACTGAAGTGAAGATAGGAGGGGACACCAAGGCCTGCGGACGCCTGCAGGACTACTTTGGGTCTCCTGAAAGCAATATAAGCAACCGACCTCTCGATCAGCCACTACTAGCTCCGAAATCTACAAAGAAAGTGCAGAATGCAATATCAGTACAATCGACCCTATGTACTAGTAAGTGCCGAGCCTAACCTCGACGAAGTTGTGATGAGACTACGGGGGGCATACCAATATATAACATACAACAGTTTATACCAAGACAGAAAGGAAATACAGAATGAAATATAACAGTAACTTGCATTAAATAAATGCGGAACCTAGTCGTTCTACCAATACTCAGCTAATCAGCTATAACCAATCCTTAAGAGAGTTTCAACACCACAATAATGAATCTCAGTAGAAGAAGAATACATAAATAACAATTGATGCGGCACGCATCCCGATCCCACCATATAATCAATAATAGAATGAACATTCCCCCTTATTACTCCTTTTGCGGCATGCATCCCGATCCCACCAGTCCACCCTTATTACTCCTCAATATATCACCCTTATTCCTCCTGTTGTGGCGTGCAACCCGATCCCACCTGTCCACCCTTATTACTCCTTGTTGCGGCACGCAAATTGATCCCACCAGACAATTACATTTCACCCTTATTCCTCTTGTTGCAGCGTGCAACCCGATCCCATTACATTAGCACCAATCACAAAATAAAGACAAGTATTTCACAAGTTAACTCAAATCCTCCACAACACTTATACCTCAAACCAACACAATGGAATGTCTATAATTATGAAACTTCATCAGTTAGTACTACACAGCGAGACCAACCAAAGTGTACCATGAAGCACCAATAAACCAACCTAAACCAACAATGTGATATAATGAGACTACAGAACAATTAACAACGTCAATAGAGGAACAACATTTAACAAGAAACAATTAGACATGGAAGCATCAATAAGCAAGTAGCAATTAAGACAGGAAAGCAATATATATTAGGAAACGGGGAAGGGAACAGGCGAAATAGGAAATTTGGCGACGCATAGGTGCTCGTCACCACACCTATGCGCCACACACGTGGTATTTCACATAGCAAGCAAGTCGGGGATCCCTAATCCCTAAAGTCAAGGTTAGACCAAACACTTACCTCAAGCCAACGGGTAATTCACATCTCAAATACCGCTTTACCTCTCGATTCCACTACCAATCCACTCGTATCTAGCTATAAATAACTTAATAACATCAATAAACGCTAAAGAAACCAATTCCAATGCATAATTATAGATGTCCAATATTTTTCCCAAAAAGTCAAAAATCAACCCCGGGCCCGCTTGGTCAAAACTCAAAATTCGGACCAAAACCCGATTACCCATTCACCTCGAGCCCGGATATACAATTGGTTTTGGAATCCGACCTCAAATTGAGGTCCAAATCCCCAAATTTCAAAATTCATAAGTTCTACCTGAAAACTCCCAATTCCACCATGAAAAACCCTAGATTCTAGGATGAAATCTTGTAAAAAGATGAAATAGATCGAAAGAAATGAGTTAAGAATCATTTACCTATGATTTGGGGAAGAACTAGTCTTTGGAAAATCGCCTCTTGAAGTTTAGGTGTTGAAAAATGGGAGAATGAATGAAAAATCCCGTCTAAGTTATGTTTTGAACAACTTCAGATGTCGCATTTGTGACTTGAGCTTCGTAAATGCGAAGCTCGCAATTGCGAAAGGGCTATCGCAACTGCGAAGCCCCCACAATTCCTGTTGCCTTCGCAAATGCGAGGAAAGTTTCGCAATTGCGATCACTGACCTCGCAAATGCAAACAAAAAATCGCATTTGCGATCCATACCCCTCCCAGACTCCCTTCGCATTTGCGAAGGTTTGTTCGCATTAGCAAACTCTGCTGGCCCAGCCTTGTAGTCGCATTTGCGATGAAAGGCTCGCAAAAGCGGAACCTGCAGGTTTCGCAATTGCGATGCCTGATCTCGCAATTGCGAGATCAGGGGCTTGCAACAGCTGAAGCATACCAGCAATATTCTCCTAAGTCCAAAATCATTCTGTAGCCTATCCAACACTCACCCGAGCCCTCGGGGCTCCAAATCAAACATGCACACAAGTCTTAAAACTTCATACGAACTTGCTCATGTGATCAAATTGCCAAAATAACACCTGAAACTATGAATTCAACACCAAAATACATGAAATTTTCAAGATAGTTTCAAACTTTTTATTTTCTCAATAAAAGGTACGAATCATGTCAAATCACTTCCGTTTTTCACCAAATTTCACATATAAGGTTTAAATATCATAACAGACCTGTACTGGGCTCCGGAACTAAAATGTTGGCTCGATACCAACAAGATCAAATCCTTTTAAATTATTACATTTCAGTCTTATCAATTTTCTTCAAAAATTCATTTCTCGGGCTAGGGACCTCGGAATTTGATTCCGGGCATACGTCCACGTTCATATTTTACTACGGACCCTCCGGGACAGTCGGAACACGGGTCTAGGTCCGTTTACCCAAAACGTTGACCGAAGTCAATAAAAATCATCTTTTTAAGCCAAAAATTATCATTTCTCAAAAATTTCACATAAGGGCTTTCCGGATACACGCCCGGACTGCGCATGCACATCGAGGCGAGATAAAATGAGGTTTTCAAGGCCATGGAACACAGAATCGGATTCTAAAACATAAGATGACCTTTTGGGTCATCACATTCTCCTTCTCTAAAACAACCGTTCGTCCTCGAGCGAACATAGAAAAGTACAAGAGTCGGTGAAAAGATGGGGATATCTGCTCCGCATATCGGACTCGGACTCCCAGGCAGCTGCCTCAACATGCTGGCCTCTCCACTGCACATGAGCCGAAGAGTAACTCTTCGATCTCAACTGTCGAACCTGCCGGTCTAGAATAGCCACCGGCTCCTCCTCGTAGGTCAAATCCTTGTCCAACTGGATAGTGCTGAAATGTAACGCGTGGGATAGATCGCCGTGATACTTCCAGAGCATGGACACATGGAACACTAGATGCACAGCTGATAAACCTGGCGGCAAAGCAAGTCTGTAAGCCACCTCTCCCACTCGATCAAGGATCTCAAAAGGCCCGATGAATCTAGGGCTTAGATTGCCCTTCTTCCCAAATCTCATCACACCCTTCATGTCCGACACTCGAAGCAACACTCGCTCTCCGACCATGAATGCCACATCACGAACCTTACGGTCGACATAACTCTTTTGCCTATACTGAGCTCTACGAAGTCTATCCTGAATGATCTTAACCTTAT